AATGAGGGCTGTTGGGTTGTTGCATCTTCATCGAGGTGTAGGTGCAGGCACAGCAGAAAATGGCATGTTGCCACCGATCAAGTGTATCGCTAAGTGATATGTCTGTTCCGTGGCTTGTGCTATGGTGGATGGCGACGAGGAAGCAGAAGATGTCGGGCAAACATCAAAGTGATGCACCGACATGCCGATAGAAGGGGCAAATATAGAGTAGTTGGGGGAGGGGGGAGGGGGGAGGGGGGCTGGGTGTGTTGGGGAGGGTGGCTGTTGGGTTGTTGCATCTTCATCGAGGTGTAGGTGCAGGCACAGCAGAAAATGGCATGTTGCCACCGAAGAAGTGTGTTGCTAAGTGACATGTCTGTTCCTTGGCTTGCGCGCTATGGTGGATGGCGACGAGGAAGCAGAAGATGTCGGGCAAACATCAAAGTGATGCACCGACATGCCAATAGAAGGGGCAAATGTAGAGTAGTTGGGGGAGGAAATGGGAGCGAAGTTTGAAAGCACGGCACTTTCTCTTGCTCGTGCTCTACTGGTACTCTCACAGAGTGGTACTACCAAAAGACATGCATGTCCCCTGGGACCCCTGGGACATCACAGTTGAAATTTCATGTAGGCGTTTGTAGGTTCTCGGCAGGTGTCATTTCATTTAGTCCATCAATCCAATGTCGTCTGCATCTGGGAATTTTGTATCGATTTTTGAGATATCGATGATGCAAGTGGCGTTATTCGTGTTCAGGTTGGCCGCATGCAATGCATATATGTGAGAGCATGAGAAGAGATTGGCTTTCGGGAAAGGAGCATATATGTGAGAGAGAGCATGGAAAGAGATTACCTTTCGGTCGAGCAGAAACGAGAACAGAGAGATTTTTTTGTCGGTTGTAATTGCGAGTTCACGTAGTCTAGACTGTGGCAGAGTTTCAGATCCCAGTATGGTCTGTAGTGCAGGCATACCTAAGTTCTGAGGTGTCGATTTTTTGCGATTGTTTGTGAATTTGCTGATCAAGATTTTATTCATGCGGAAGATTGCAGGAGGTCTTTGTTATCACCCTATAGGGAAGAAAAGCTCAAATCTTTTACGCACCTGGCAAGTGAATGGTTGTGGGGAAGCGGATCTTCTGTACAGTCTCCGGCAAGGTGGACTTCAGACGGAGTGAGAGGGTGGTAGGTTCCTCCAGAGAGCCGATTCGGCGATGCCGTGGTAGTTTTGTAGAGAGCTCAAAGATTGGGGGGTTGATTGTGCTCACCTCTGCCGCACGGGAGAAGAGTAGCTCTTAATCATTTGCAGAGTTCTAAGTCTTTTTTTGTTTTTTGGCGGAGTTCTGACTTTAAGTGTTGACTTCATAGAATTTTGAAAGAGGTATTCAATTTTGTCTGGGAAGAGGAGAGGAGGTTGGTGAAAGAGGTCGAGAAAGAGGTAGAGAGTAGTGTTTTGTTCGTCTCCTTCACTTCTCATGGATAGCGGGAAGCATTCGCAGGCAGGAGGAGGTCAGTGAAAGAGGCAGTGGTTTTGGAGTACACAAGTCAGTGGTGGAGTGTCTCTCTCCACCACGCCGGGAGAGTAGTGTGAATCGTTGGCAGCGTGCAAGTACTTGGCAACGAAATTTTGAGATAAAAAAAAGGAAATGAAAACAATTTTCTCCGGAAGTTTTCCGCCGTGGGCTGTGCATGTGGAGTCGATGGCTGCCTTGTTGTTTGAGATAGAAAAAAGGAAAAGAAAACAATTTTCTCTGGAAGTTTTCCGCCGTGGGCTGTACGTGTCAAGTCGATGGCTGGATTGTTGCAGGCCGTCGGTTACATCGGGGATGTTTGTCAGGATGATGTTGATTGTTGTTGTCCCCGGTTATGGACATTGTGAAAGGGTGTTGGTTATGTTTGCCTCTCGTTGTGGACTTGTCATTGAAAGGGACTGTGATCGTGTTTGGTATTATATGGTGGATTCATGTGGTTGTCGGGTTTTGTCCTCATGATGTGATGGCTTCATCTGGTTGTCTACGTGCGTGCCAAATTCTGCAGACTCGGCAGTACCGGTGATGAATACCGGGCATATACTCGACGAGGTGTGCACAGAACTGATAAATGCCTGCATGCATGTACAGTCCTGTCTCTGTATTATGCATAAAGGATTTCTGAGTCCAGCAGTGGTAGTGTACGGGTACTGGGTAGCTGTGGCAGGACGATCAATGAGGTGCACAGAACCCCTGCGTGCATGCATGTTCATCCCTGCAGAGATGAGCATTTTTTTTTTGAATTGGCACTTCACCCAACCCGCCCATAATTTTAAAGCACAGACCGCTCTAAAAATAATCAAGGTGACCCAACCCACCTGAGTGTTTTTTGAAAATCTCCTCCCACACACAACCCACCCGTTACCCATAAAAAACCTTCACCCTGACCCACCCACACCCGCGAGGAAGAAAAACACCCGCCCGCGCCCGGTACCTAATTTTTTCCGCCTGCACCCGCCCATTCCCCATTATTGGGTGCACCGTAGCGACATGACATCATTGGATGACGGCGCAAAACATTGAAGCATCTCTGCCTGTAGAAATTCGAATCGCTCCACAAGTTTGAAATTGGGCAGTGAACCTAAGGCTTGCCACTTGCTGTGGTTAGGTTCGATCCGCGTTGTTTTAATGGGAGCAAACATCCCGTTGTTTCGGCCGTGGTCCTGGTGCCACCAGTACGAAATTTTGGGTCCTTGAAGCGTGACACCTGTTTTCAAGGACCCCAAATTTCGATTTGCCTCTGTCGTGGCTCTTGTTTTTTTAGGACCACAACGTTTTTTCCCAGGGGCCCCAGGGTGGAAAGTTTCTGTTTCAAGGGCCTCCAACCTTTGAAGTCCACAGATGGACCGCAGGAATGCAGCTGGGAAATATGTATAAGGCGGGGTGGAGGGTTCTTATGGGTTGTCCTGGGTCTGTGGGTCGGGGGACCAAGGCCTAGCCCTCACCTGCTTGTCACCCACCCATTTGGGTGACCCTGGCCTAACATTGACCTGCCCGTCGCCCACCCAGGCTTGCTCGCCTAGACCCACCTTCATCCCACCCATGCCATTTTATTAAGACCCACACTTGTCCCTGGAGGGTGGGGGTGGGCGTGGGTCTGGTCACCCGTTGGTCATCTGTGCATCCCTGTGCCTGTGTGCTGTGTGCACCGCTACAAGTAAATTAATTAATTACCGCCTTTGGCTCCTAATAAGCCTCCTACAGTACAGGCTTCTATTGAATTGATTGCTCATACTAAATTTTCTGATAGCCCATGTGCAAGGGCTTTTCACTCGAAGGTTCGAAGTTGCACGCGAGATCATGGACGCATGATTATGCTTAGTGCCGTTTGGCACCTTTTGTCTTTTTGGGCTACTTGTGTAGTACTCTGCTTTGTACAGTGCTGGATTGGGATGATGGTGATGTCGTCCCAACTTCATGGTGATGCAAATGTGCAGGCATTAATTGAAACAAAGGCAAGCAAGCTTTTATACTGTTGCAAGTCAAAAAGACTGTGCTCCTCGGCCTATTTGTCGTACGGGCTTGAAAATTGAAACAGATTCATTTCTCAGTCGAGCACGGTTGCGCGTCACTCTGCGGACATAAGATGTCGGGCCGATGGCTCCTCAGAGCGACTCCCAATATATCTCATACGAAGTCGCTTGGCACCTCATCTTTTCGGGGTACTTGCACAGTAATGTACTGGTTCGAAACGGAATTTCGACCACATTTTGAAAATTAGCGGGTATTGGACTCGCGTGGTATGGTTGCCTGAACTCCATGCGGAAACCAAGGCTGCAAGCGACCTGGTTCTGGTATTGCAGCACGTAAACTCCGTGGTGCTGACACCAAGACTGCAGGCAACCTTGTATTTACAGTACAGGCGTCCAGTCTTATCTACTCAACATGGTTCACTAGCCGCAGGCTCTGACACCAAGACTGCAGGCAACCTTGTATTTACAGTACAGGTGTCCAGTCCTATCTACTCAACATACTGTGGTTCACTAGCCGCAGGCTCCGACACTCACGTTGTGGCCTTCTTTCATCTGCCTGACTGTTTAATTGTGCAGCTGAGATTTGCGCTCGAAAAATCGATGTTTGGTTCACACCTGGGGCTGTGAATGGTGGACAGGTCGATTGTGGGAAAGCCGTTGATAGGGAAACGGAAAATTGGAAAAAAAATTGGAAAAAAAAAAAACATTTTATTTCTAGGCTGGGCCGCCCGGGTCCCGGGTGGCCAGCCCGTGCAAGGACAAGGGAAAGTCCCAGCAAAAAAAAAAAAAAAAATCAAAAAAATCCGAAAAAAAACCTATGTTGTGCAGAAAAATAAACTGTACAACTTTTCCCTCAGGGTTACATCGAGATTCCTTAACAAAATTTAAAATATAAAATAATTTATTTGTTTTTAGTTTTTTTGTTTTTTTTGGCCCGGCCGGGCAAGTGACCCCGGGCCACTCTGGTAGCCTAGTTTTATTTCAAAAGAAATGTGCCCGCTTATCCGCTTGCCCGCCTGCCCGCCACCCACACATGCACTTTGCACTGCTGCAGAGCATGGGCTGTCTGTTGATGAAGGCGTGTTTGTTGTTGGCCTCGGTCTGTCGGGGCGGGAATGTTTGTTTGGAGTCGTGGCCATGGTATCTTCGGGAGGAGGCTCAGAGAGTCTTTGCTGTGGGTATGTGTCACTTCCACGAGCTGCCCTGTAGGTGCACATGGAAGATGGTAGTGCTTCCATGGTGTTTTAAGCAGTAGTGCTCATGCCCAGGGTGTTTTAAGCAGTATCCCTCCTGGTGTCGCATGAAGATGTTGTGGTCTTTGGTACTATGGTACTCTATACACTCCAGAGGCTAGACAGCTGATGGGGACTGTCCAGCCATGGAGTGAAAGAGGTAGTGGTGCTGTGAGTGAGTCGTGTGGGAGGAACAGGAGTGCTAGTGCTGCTGTACTTGTGGGCTGACTTGGAGGGCTCTCCATGTTTTTCTCGGGACCGTTGCTGGATTGGGTCGGTGCTTTTTTGCCGGTGAAGCCTTGTGTGTTAGAAATGTTCTAGAAATGTTCCCTTCTGCCCTTTACCTTTGTTTTTATGGATTGACAAAACTATATATATTTGTGCAAGTGTGCGGCTTCGACGCCAGACGGGTGAGTCTCGGTGCGCGCTTCCCGCTCAACCACACAGATGTGGGGAATCTTGCACCCTCTATTATATTGCTCCTCTATACGTTGTTTGCTTATGGATGGTTTGTGATGGTATGTGGATGGAATGAGAGTTTGGGGATGTTGACAAACACACACACAGCCAAAGCTACCTGCAACAGCATTTGCATCTCTCGCAGCACACTTTGAGCACAAGTGCGACTGATCGGCCTCTGCTTCCTGCGTTTGATCCGTCTATTCCTCGTCCACCTGACCCTGCATGCTCCCCCCGCCTCAAATGATAATGATCCACCTTGTGATCACCTGATGGACTCTCTGACTCGAGATGATCTCTCTCTGCAGCGCATACCGGATCTGATGGAGTTAATACCGCTCAGGAGGAACCTGACAGATTGTATTAACTCCATCAGGTCCGGTATGCTCTCTCTCTCTGCAGATCGTATCAACTCCATCAGATCCGGTATGCGTTCTCTCTCTGCAAATTGTATTAATCCAGCAGATCCGGTATGCGCTCAGGAGGAACCTGACCTGTTGACCTATAAACGCCGTAGGACGTGAAATGGTCGTTGCCCACGAAATGGACAACAATTGAAACCGGATGCAAGGCCTGCCTATGCTGCGATGCTCAGTAGACTCGCTCTCTCTCTGCAGATTGTATCAACTCCATCAGATCCGGTATGCGCTCGGGAGGAACCTGACAGTTAATACTGCTCAGGAGGAACCTGACAGATCTCTCTCTGGAGCGCATACTGGATCAGGTGATCTCTCTCAGGAGGAACCTGACAGAAACGGTTAAGACCGCAATGAATCTCCGCCTGCCGTGCAATCTGCAGAATCGGATCATGTCATAGTGCTGTGCCTAGTATGTCCATTAACGTACGTCTCCTTGCCTGCAAGTGCAGCCCTTCTGATTTTGCAGACGTTGTCTGCTGGATAGAAGAGCAACGAGTAGTCTGCCCGGAGGGCCAACGTGCTGTCCGCCCGGAGGATGACAGTGATGCACCTGGTGTGAACATAGAAGTCACTGTCTACGAGTCCTGCCTGCTCCGCAAAATCACGTGTCAGGCCTGGATCCGAATATATTCGGGCATTACATCTTGCATTTATGTCATTTCAGTGCTCTTACCTTCGCGGATAACACAGGACATACCCCTCAAGCACTACTCGCTCTCTACCCATCTAGTCTCCGACCAACCCGTCACCCCTCTGCCCAAGAAGAGTATCATGAACTCGTCCCTTATTCAGCCCTCTTCTTTCTCACAACAACCCAGTGTGCCCTCCACTGACATCCTCTCTCTCTCTCTCTCTCACATGTGTGTGTGTGTGTGCCCTCCACTGACATCCTCTCTCTCTCTCTCTCTCTCTCTCTCTCTCTCTCTCTCTCTCTCTCTCTCTCTCTCTCTCTCTCTCGTGTGTGTGTGAAAGCCTCTATGATCAGGAACAGGAATCCTCTCTGCTTCAAAATATCAAGGCAAGGCACTCGCAAAGGTACAGACGTAAAGAAAA